CCCCCCGGCGGTGTGGTTCCCCTCCAAAAAAGTAAAGGAAAACACGGAAGAGAGAATGGTCAAAGCATTATGAACTTGAACATCCTTGTAAAGGAGTTCTGTTTTTCTTTTCCGATAAAATGTCAAATTGCAGGATATCGAGAATTTTTCTCAGATAAAAGGAGTTCTATATTTTCTTAGAGCATAGAAAGGTGTTCCGTTAACTTCTAGTTAGGTTTTCTAAGCATTAGGAACCTTAGCATTGATGAGAAGCATGCTCTGAGTTTTATTCTGTTTAGGCGAAGAAACGGTAACTTTTTCACATCCTCAGTGAATACTGTATGCTATTGAAAGGAATTGGATACTAATAATGGCTTACTATCAGGTTTCACAATTTCTTGCACGTCAGAAACATGCGAAGAAGTATATTCTTGTCCATTGCACACATGGGCATAATCGCACTGGGTTTATGATCATTCATTATCTGATGCGCACGCTGCCAATATCTGTTAGCCAGGTTAGCAATTTTGCTATGTTACTTCCTTCTTGCTACAAATTTAACTACTTATCTCTGAATGATCAGAGTACTTTTATGCAGGCAATTAAAATTTTTTCTGATGCTCGACCTCCTGGGATCTATAAGCCGGACTATATTGATGCCTTATATGCCTTTTATCATGAGAAAAAACCTGAAATGGTTGTCTGCCCTCCAACACCTGAGTGGAAAAGATCTTCTGAGCTTGATTTGAATGGCGATGCTATGCCGGATGACGACGACGATGGAGGTCCTGCGGTTCCTTTGCCTGTATGTGTTTCTGCAAGAGAACTTTCCCTTTGATATATTGACACTTTATTCATGGGTGAAATGTTTGGTTAATTCCTTCTCTGCTGAAAGTTTAAGCCTTCGATTTTCACCAGGGCAGTGTTGAATATGATTGAATGTGAACACTGCCGTGCTACCATGCTAGTGGCTCTCAACATTAGAATGAGAAACCCATCCCTTTCTGATACTTTTTTGGTGAAGAAGTAGTGAAACTTGATTTTGAGTGCAATATTAAGCTTGATTTTGAAAATCACCAATTTATGACATTCCCAAGTTTTTTGCTAATGGAACTTGTCAACAAGTAACTCTTAGTAACGACCTTGCAATACTTGGGATGCAATGACTGCAGCAGCTTTTTAATGGCATGGTCTGTCCATTAAGCCTCATGCTTGTCAGATTAGTTGATTGGAGTCTCCTTCTGTCAGCCATGAGATGTCTTCCCTGTTTGGTTAGATGAAATTGAACCTGTCGATATGGTATTCTTAGAGTGATGACTTCTTTTCCTTGGGATCTTCATTAACTATGCTTCATCCAAAATAGTTTCAGCCTTTCAGGTCAGGATATGAATCCTCTATATAATTTGCTCTATTAGACCCAGTTTCGTTCTAATTATGGAATGATAGAAAAATGATCTCTTGTTCTCCTTTTTCTATTCCATTTAAATAAGTGTGAAATAAGTAGCCAAAATTTAATGCTGCAGAATAGTTTCCATTTCTTTTTTATTTCTAACCTGGATTGCCTAAGGTTTCCTACCAGGAAAAAAGGGGGCATTATTGTTTCTTGACAGATAAAGAATTTCTCATATAATCCCTCAGAACTGTGTACTTTGCTATATTTCTTATTTGCATTTGCAGCTTTCGCGCCTCCATGTTGTTACTTATTCATCGCCTTTGCCCTTTACTAATTAAAGAAAGATCTGCTCAAGAAGAAATCTAGTTTTTCTTAAAGGCTTGACAAGGGCACTAAACGGTGCTGGAAGAGATCTTACTTTGCTTAGAACTTAGAAGAAGCATAATATTTTCCGGCTTGGTAAAGAGTGTTTGGGAAGGGAAACTAGAAAAAAATACACATCCTAATGGTGTCATATTTGCTGACCTTCTAGTCCTTTTTCTCTAGTATTTTGCTGGATAATGCATTTTGGTGTTTTTTATGTTATGACGACTCCTCCCCCTTTTTTCAAGCTTTTGGCAATTGGTGCTTAAATGGTTACGGAATAGTTAATTTGTCGGATAGCATCTTCGCAGTTCACAGAAGGGTGAGAATGGCAGATGTTCGACTATTTTTTTCTGATGTTCAACTTGATTCACCTTTTACTTTTTGAAAGTTTAGATTCCCAATAAACAAACTTGACTGAGAGCCAGAGAGTTGAGCGAGAGAGGTGGGCCTGGTGGTGTAGTGAACAGGTGGTGTGTTGAGCAAAGAGAGGGAAG